GAGGGTGAAACAAGGTTGCCCCTTGGAGGCAAGGATTTTGAAGCTCCGTCTCACATACTTTGGGCATGTGTCCAGGAGGGACCAGTCATTGGAGAAGGATATCATACTAGGAAGGGTGGAGGGACAACACAGGAGAGGAGGACCCTGGACAAGACGGCTTTGACAGTGACTGGGGCAATAGCAGCAGGTGTGTTGGAGACAGTGAGCTTGGCTCAGGATAGGACAGGGTTCAGAGCTATTGTGCATAGGGTCAGTTGCAGACAACCTGACAGCACACAACAGAAGAAGCTCGCCCATGACACCCCTCTCCATCTCCTCTAATTTCTGAATAGCTCGGTGGTGCTGTGGTGTAAGATTTTCAATGTAAATGGACAACTCAACAGTTCAAACCCACCAGTAGAAAAATGAGGCAGCTGACTTCCATTAAGACTTTTCTAACTTCTGGTTTTTGTTGTGCCTTTGAGCTTGAAGCGATTCATAGCTGACCCTCCAGCGGGTTTTCAGAGGCAGTTTACTCTCATGGGAGGAGATTGCCCGTCCGTCTCCTGCGGAGCACCAGGTAGATTCAAACCCTGTGCCTTTGAGATTGCAGCACAGCTTCTTACCACTAGGCCACCACCAATATACTTTTCTTATCTTATTTTTTTCCACCACTAATATACTTTCTGTGTCTCTTCTTTTACCTATTCTGGATAGTTCCTCTAAATGGGGGTCATAATATTGGTCATAATATTGTTATCTGGCTTGATGTCCTGGGTTTATCAGATTCAGCCATGACTTTATTCTTTTTGATGGCTGCATATTCCATCGCATGGGATGCCACATTCATCAGCGGGTGGAAATTGATGATTTCCCCTTCCTGGCTATTACATGGCAGGCTGCCGTCCTCAAACACTGGCTGGTCCTGCACCGTCTTCACAGTGAGTGGTATGTTTGAGTCTCTTCTTGGGGCCACTGTGCATTTTGAGGGTCTTCTCTCCACCTTATCTTCCAGCATTCTATCACACAGTATTGTGATCTGTACATAGGGTTTCCACTGGCTGGGTGTCAGGCCTTTCTTCCTAGTCTCTCTGAGAGAACTCTTTGTTGTTCCTGCCCACTGTGAGGGATGCGGCTGGTGTTTGAATTGGCAATGGTGTAGCTCCCAGCATCGTGCACGCCTGTGGGTACGACACACCGACAGGCGGGTGGTGGCTGGCACTGGTCTGGGGTGGGGATGCTTGGGGATTCTTTTAAGCAGGAGCTTCCTGTCCTGCAGTGGAAGCTGGGAGAAGCTCCCATCCCATAAAGCAGATGAAAGTGAACTGGAGTGGGCCTCACCCCCACCCCAGGCTTCTAGAGGACGCTAGGGTTGTACAGGTTGCCCCAGCAGACGGGTTGTGGCAGGTCGAGGGCAGATGCATCCTGGAAATTCATCACTCCCTTTGTGTCCTTGACCTCGGGATGGAAACCCTGAGTTCTCCACTCCTCCCAGGCCAGCTTTTTGGGAACTCAAGAACCAGAGGTGCCGGCTTCTGCTGCCTCCAGCTCCTGAGAAAATGGCCTGGAGCGAGGGTGGGCGAGGTAAGAGGCAGTGCAGAGTGGAGAACACATGGAGGAAGCGAGCTTTGGGGCCCGACTTCCTCAGCTCCTCTAAGCCTCAGTTTTCTCATCTGTGAAATGGGAGAAGGGTGAGGCAATGTGCTTACAATAACTGTAGCTCACACACAGTGTGGTTCACTGTGCAGGCAAGATGCAGAGTGACACATTCCCCCCGCCCACCATCGGCGGGTTTTGGTTTTGAGTCCAAGTAAGGAGCGTCACTCCACACACACACACCCCTCCCCGATTCCTGACCCAGCTATTCTGTCTTAAGTTGCTTGATTTCCTCTTAGGTCTCTCTCCTGGGCGAACATCTTGATTTCCTGAAGACTTTCAGACTATCAGCCTGTGGTCTGGGCCCTTTCCAGGGCCACAGTCCTTAAAGTCCTTGGGCCAGAAAGAAAAGGTGACCAGGAAGCAGATTTTGAGAACAAAGGGCAGCCTTATGTGGAAGGTCAGGGGAGGAGGGTGGCCAGGTAAGGGACTTACCTGGCCTCCGCACCTCCCCAGCCCACAGTGCCCAGAAGAGGCAGCATGTGGGCCTGCCTGCAGGGAGTCTGTGTTTGAACTTTAACCTCTCCTCCCCACCCAAGCCTTCATCTTTCTTCCTCTTTTTCTTTAAAGCAGCTTTATTGAGAGATAATTCACATCCCACAGAATGCACCTGTTTGAAGTATAAGCTCATTGGTTTTTAGTGTCTTTATGCTGTCATCTCTCTACTGGCTTGCCAAAAAGTGGTATGTTTCTCTCTCTCTCTCTTTTTTTTTCCAGTATAAAATAATTTTTTTTGGTTGGGTTTTTTTTTTAATTGATTTTAGTGAAAGTTTACAGAGACTTAGGGTTTCTATTCATTCATTGTTGCACTTGTCTCCCTGCCCGTCCCCTCCCCCCAGTTCACTCTTCTTGAAAAGTAAATGAAAATTTCCTTCATTGTTATACAATCCCTCCCGCCAACTCCACTCCACTGTGCAGCCTTCATTCTGGACTCCTGTCATGACAATAATACACAATCATATATCCCTTTTTTTTCATAATCAAGGTCGTTTTTATTGAAGTTTATACAGCGATTATCGCTCATTATTTCGGGAATCACTTCCTTCGACAGGCAGGCACCACATTCTAATCAACATGTAAAGAGAGGCATCAGTGATTTCACAACTACTTGGAGTTAAGTGTCTCTACTTGGCAGTTAACATGAACATCAAGTATTTCAAGAACTGGAAAATGAATAAACTAAAGGATAACTAGTCATCCTCTATTAAATCATAAATTGGTTCAGAGTAAGTTACATGCCAAGTTTACTGTGTGTGGATATTGTTGCTAATGTGGTTTACTTATTTAGAAAAATCAAGGTAAGACACTGAAATATATTAGCTGTTAGAGAAGATGCTTGGCTACTGACGCTTCTCTCCACCCTCACGATGTTCTTTATGAATTCTTCTTGGAAGTTTTCGTTGTGACTGTCTTGACCTCGGTATATTCCTGAAGAACATTTTCTCCCAGTTCTCATCCATTTCCAGACATCTTGAATCCCCCAAAGGGGAATTGGACAGAATTTGCCATATAACAGTTCACCCACACTGTCCCAGCCTGCAGGGCGGCAGACACTGTCACAGCTTTATCAAGGTCCTCGGTAAAGACTCCTGCCGCTAAACCATAAAAAGTGTTGTTTGCTCTCTTGATCCCTTTTAAACAGTTCTCTCCCTCATCTGTTTCCATGCAGTGTATATTATTCATCCCCTCCTTCTCCGTCTTCCCTCAACCCTGATGTCATTCCCGTTTTACAACAGTGGCCCTATGCAGTATTTGTCCTTCAGTGACCGAGATATTTCACTCAGCATGATGTCCTCCAGGGTCACCCATTTTGCATAATATTTCATGAATTCCTTGTTTTTTCAGTGCTGCGTCGTATTCCGTTGTGTGAATACACCAGAGCTTCTCTATCCATTTGTTTGTTGATGTGCACTTGGGTTGTTTCCAGCCCTTTGCTATTGTGAACACAGCCGCGATAAACATGGGTGTGCATTGTTTTTAGTGTCTTTATGCCATCATCACTTTACTGGCTTGCCTGAAAGCAGTCTGTTTCTACGTTAGCGTTACATATCTGTTGAACTCTGGTGGTCTAGTGGGTAAGGAGCCCACCCAGAGGCACATGGTTTGAAGCCACCGGCTGCTCCTTAGGAGAAGGGAGAACATCCAGGCTCCTGTCCTGCGACTTACTGCCTCTGAAAACCCGGTGGAAGGTCAGTTCTCAGTCAGCTGTGGCTTGAAGACACGTAACAACAAGAAGCAGCATAAATTAGATATTTATCCATTAGCATTCACCTCTGTTTTATCTCAAGTCCTCTTGTTTGCCATCAGGTCATTTCTGACTCAGAGCTCGTAGCACTGCTATCAAACAGGGTAGACCTGTCCCTTGGGGTTTTCTGGGCTGAAATCTTTACAGAAGCAGATTGTCACTTCCTTTCTGCCATGGAACTGTGGGTGGATTTGAACCACCAACCTTTTAGTAAGCAGATGAGCCCTACACCACCAGTGCACCTTCCCCAAGCCCTGCCTGGACAACCATTAGTCTGTGGGGTTTTTTTTTTTGTTTTGTTTTGTTTTTTAATCTCTAGAGTTGCCTGCTACTCCAAATGGTTCATGTCAATGGAATCAAACACTCGATGTCTTTCTCTTTCCAACTTCCCTCATTCAGCATCATGTTTTCAAGCTCATCCGTGTAGTAGCTCTTTGTTCCCTTTTTTTTTAAATAGCCATGTACTGCCCCCTTGTAAGGCTAGACCACGTGTTGATAACCCCTCCTTCTGTTGATGAGCATGTGGCGTCTCCTGGTTTGGGTAGGTTCTCTCTGGTGCTGCCTTGAGCATGCAGGTGCAAGATCTCACGTGGGCATGCGCCCTCATTCGTCCTCTGTTTATACCCCGGCCTGGATAACATGACCATGGGGATGGTCCACAGGACAGGAAAAGCTTCAGGCCTTTTGTTCATAGAATTGCTGAGTGGTGGTCAGTCTGATGGCACCTGACAACTGCAGTGAGTTGGTATAATTCAGGGCGTAGTCTTTGTAGGAGTTGAGTGTCATCCGTAACTCCACACCAGAACCCTGCAACTGGCTGCTTGGATTCCCTCCTCTGGGGTCTCGTGATCTCCCTGGAACAGGGCCTGAATTCCATGCATCTTCATTTTTCTGGGAATTGGATGCCCAGTGTGTTGATATAACCCCCCACCCCAACTCCAGGCTGAAAGTTATAGAGCTGGGCAGAGAAATACAACATAGTACGGTCCTTTCTCTAACAGCTATTCTCGTGGGACCTGCTGGGGATAAAAATACAGCTCCCCAAGTGATGATAAAGCCGTCTGACGTCTGCTTTCTGTTCTCACTCCTTCCCTGTGCATTTCTGCTCCTTGGAAACCAGCAAAGAGAACTTCAACAGCATCCCCGACCTGGAGCTCAACCCGATCCGATCCAAAATCGTCCGTGCCTTCTTTGACAACAGGTGAGTGTTTGTCGCTGAGGCCCCCTCACAGAGGGCAGCATTGTCCCAGAGGATAGACTGCTGGGGTTTGTAACGTCTCGTCTCGTGGGAGGCATCCTGGGAGTTCAGTGGTAGAGTGCTCAGCCGCTGTGCAGAAGGTTAGTGGTTCAAACCCACCAGCTGTTCCATGGGAGAAAGAAGTGACAGTAGGCTTCTGTGAAGATCACAGCCTTGGGACGCCTGTGGCTAGGGTCACTGAGACAGAATGAATTCCACAGCAGTGAGGTAGGATGTTCTTTAATTTGAAATAATTTTTAAACTGATTTGCATATAATAATTCATTTATATTCATTTATGTACATTGTGCTTTATACAATCTTTCGTTTACATTCTCTTTCATACAATCATTTATATACATTGTCTTCTTTGGAATTAATTACTATTTGTGCCTCCTATTACCCCATCTTTTTGTGTTTGTTTTGTTGTGTACCGTGGAATTGAATCTGACTGGCACAGGAGGAGATTGCCCCTCCTTGTCCAGTGGAGCATCTGGTGGATTCGAACCGCCTGCCTTTGAGACTGCAGCACAACTTCCTGCCTCTCGGCCACCAGACCTCCCTATACCCCTTATTTTTGAGTCTTAGATGAATCTCTCCTGTTCTTTCACCAGACCCCGCCACATCCTTTTACTAAACTATTTATTGTAATGATTTCCACCCTTCTCGTTTTTCCACTCCTTGCCCTCTGATTCCCTTTCTCCTTTTGGACATGGCAGTAGGATTCGGTAACTATTCATAGTGCTATGTCGTCTGTGCATCTCCGTAAGTTGAAGTTGCTTGGAAGAGTTGGGGAGATATGACAAGAATGGGCATGGGCCGGGTACCTCCTGGGCCTGTGGCTGAGGGTCTGTGGACAGCTCGCTCGGTATCTCTGGGCATCTGTTTTAGCTGTGTGTGGAACTCCATCTCTCATACTTCGGGCATGTTGTCAGGAAGGGCCAGTCCTTGGAGAAGGGCATCCTGCTTGGGAGGGTGGAGGTCCAGTGCAAGAGAGGAGGACCCTTGACTAATGGGTTGACGGCATGATGGTGGCAATGGGATCAGGCATGTAGGAGATGGTGAGATTGACTTAGGATCAGACAGAGTTCAGAGCCACTGTTCCCAGCGTTGCCATGAATCGCAGTCAGTTGATGGTACTTAACAACGACATACAACATGCCCGAAGTATCTGCTATCCGTGCCTCCAAAGTGCACTCGGGCTGCAAGTGTTCCAAAGCACATCTGTTATTTTGGCATTCTTCTCCAACACCACAGCTCAAAGGCACCTACTTCTGGCGTCCTTATTCGTTGCCCAGCTCTCAGATACATAGCAAGTGATTGAAAAGATCATGGCTTGACTCAGATGCGCCTTAGTCCTCAAACTGCTATCACTGCTACTCAGTAATTCAGACAGGTCCCTGACAGCAGATTCCCCAGTGCAGCACATTGCCTGGTCTCTTTACTGCTGGTACCCAGGGTGTTGATTTGTGGGTCCAAGTAAGATGAAATTGTTGCCAATTTCAGTCTTTTCTCCATCTATCATGTAGTGGAAATTTTTATCTTCTTGATGTGGAGATGAAGTCCATTTTTAAGGCTGTAGTCTTTGATGGTGAAGAGATTGAGATTGTTCACAACTTCAGTTTGCTCAGCTCCACGGTCAACACTCTTGGCACCAGTAGCCAGGAAATAAAAAAATGTATTGCGATGGGAAAGTCTGTGGTTAGGGACCTCTCTAAAGTACTCAAGAGCAATGGTGTCTCTCTGGAGACTAAGGTGCGCCTGATACAGGCCATGGTCTTTGCAATCACTTGTTATGCATCAGAGAGTTGGACAATGACTCGGGAGGATAGAAGGAGAATTGACGCCTTTGAACTGTGGTGCTGGAGAAGAGTACTGAATGTACCATGGACTGCCAGGAAAACAAACAGATTCATCCTGGAGAGGGTTAAACCAGGCTGCTCCTTGGAGGCAAGGATTCTGGGGCTTCGTCTGACATACTTTGGACATGTTGCAAGGAGAGACAGGTCTTTAGAGAGGGACATCATGCTGGGCAGAGTGGAGGGACAGCGCAGGAGGGGAAGACCCTCTATGAGGTGGATTGATTCAGTGACTGGGGTAATCGGGATGGGTGTGTCAGAGACAATGAGATTGGCACAGGATAGAGCAGGGTTTAGGGCTGTTGTACGTAGGGTCGCTATGAGTCACAAGTGACTCGACGGCACATAACAACAACAGTCTTTGATCCTCTGCAGCAGGCATTTCAGGTCCTCCTCACCTTCAGCAAGCCAAGCTTGTGGCATCGTCAGGAACGCAGGTTGTTGATGAGTCTTCTTCCTATCAGAGCAAAGCATCTGCCTCTTCAGCTTTTTTAATGTACATAATTCAGTGCTGCTAATTACAGGCATCAGGCTGCACGCACATCAGCACTGTCTCCACACTTTCTCATCACCTTCAACAGAAACTCAGTGTCTCTCAGGCAACAGCCACCCGCTTCCCCACCTGCCAGCTTCTAGCTCGGCACACGGCCTGTTTGTCTTGTGTGTCTGGCTACTTCACTCAGTGTAATGTCTTCAGTTTCGTCTGTGCGATCATGTGCGTGTGTCAGGACTCCATTTCTCTTTAAGGCTGAGTAAATTCCCATTGTGAGCAAGGAGCCTGGTGGCCTAGTGCATAACTTACCTGGCTGCTAGCTTGAAAGGTTAGCAGTTTGAATCCTCCAGCCACTCCAAGAGGGAAAAATGGGCAGTCTCCTCTCAAAAAGATTTTCAAGGGAGCTCTGGTGGCGTAGTGGCAAGAAGCTGTGCTGCCATCCCAGAGGTACGCAGTTCAAATCCACCAGTTGCTCTGCTGGAAAAAGAGAGGCAATCTCCTCCTGTATCAGTCAGATCTGATTTGACGGTACACACACACACACACAAATCTTAAAAAAAACCTATTTTCAGCCTCAGAAATTCAGTGGGTGGATGCTGTGAGTCCAAACTAGCTTGGTGGTGTTGAGTTTGGTGTTTCTGGTGTTTGTAATAACCATGGAGGGTGGAAGGACAGCCCAGGAGGGGAAGACCCTCTATGAGGTGGATTGATTCAGTGACTGGGGTAATCGGGATGGGTGTGTCAGAGATTGGTACAGGGTAGAGCAGAGTTTACGGCTGTTGTACATAAGGTTGCTATGAGTCGCAGGTGACTCGACGGCACATAACAACATCACAGAAGCCACGTTGTGTTGATCCGGTCATCTGTTGAACACTTGCCAACTTCCACCTTTTTGTCTGCAGTGAACATTGGGCTCTGTTCACATCCCTGCTTCTAAGTCTTTGTATATGTACCTAAGGGAGCTCTGGTGGCCCAGTGGTAAGGAGTTGTGCTGTCAATCCTAAGGCGTGTGGTGCGAATCCACCAGCCGCTCTGTGGGAGAAGGATGGGCAGTCTCCTCCCATGAGATTTACTGCCTCTGAAAACCTGCCAGAGGGTCAGCTGTGGGTCAGTTCCGACTCCGTGGCACACAACAGCGACATGATACTTCTGTGTGGAAAGTTTTGAAGGACCGCCGTGTGGCTTTCCACAGCACTATGACTTTTTTGTATTCCATCCGGTAAGGGATGAAGCCCCAATTTGTCCACATTCTTGCCAGCACTTTTATTTCCTGTTTTTCTGATCAGTGCCATCCTTGTGGAGACAAGGTCACACCTCATCGCGGTTGCATTTGCCTGTCCCTCGTGACGACGGACGGTGGCATCTTCGCACGTGCTTCCTGGCCGTTTGGACAGCCCCTTTGGTGAAATGCCTGTTCTCTTGCTTCCCACACATTTTGAAGAGTTGTGTGTTGCTGAGTTGTAGGAGGTATTTCTCACATCCCACATAGTATGTGTTGGATGTGATATACTCACGCAGCTGTCCTTTTGTAACTGAATCTTGAAAGCAAGCTCTGCCTTAAGCCCACATTTGGAAAGGGCCTGAGAGGCAGGGGCAGGGGTCATTTGGGGTCGTCTTGGAGGCCATCTGCCACGCCTTGGTGGAGACAGTAAGACACCTGGCTGGCTAGTCACCTGAGGCTTCACTGAGGTGGAGAGTGTGCCAGTGTTGGTCAGCTGTTACCATTCATCTCCCTTGTTCACTGGTGGGGAAACTGAGGCCTGAGCACTTGGGCTCTAGAGCTCAGGTCCTGAGTTTCCACTCCTGCTAAAGTTCAGGCATCCCTTCAATGGGTGGGGATGGATGACACAGGGTGTCAGGCCCTGTGGAAATGGGGCTGTGGAGACTTAGCCCGCTGCTGTCTGACTGTGGTCCTGACCAGGCACAGGGGTCACATGAACAGCAGGCCGAAAGAGGAAGGAAGGGGCGGGAATGGTGTGATAAGTCTGATGCCTCTTGGGGTTAGTCATGCAAGCGCGCACCCTGCATCTCTCGTTCTGCCTTCCCATGGGACCCTGGGGAGCCCCGTCCTGTCTCGGAGCCTCAGCTGGGACTGTGATTGATTCCTGCACACGGTGGTGTGGGGGCCTCAGGCTGCTCCAGGAGATGCAGAGGCCTTCTTCAGGGTGGAGGGCGAGACATCGGCAGGGAGTTATGAGGAATCACACAGGCAGACAGAGGGTGCTTAGGGCAGCTGGATTGCCTGCAGAGGCACGGTGGCACCAGAGCGTGGCCCTGGGAGTGGTTAGAGGCAGCCGAGCGTGGTGTGGTGTGGAGCCAGGAGAGGCTGCCTCATGTCAGGCCCTCGAAACCAGCAAAAAAACCTTAATGTTAACCTGGGACTGTGTGTGGGTCACTTGGCAGGTTTGCAAGAGGATCAGGTGGAGAGGGGAATTTCCAGGTTAGTACAAATGGTTACTATTCACCTGCCAACAGAAAGGTTCACGTTCACCCAGAGGTGCCTCCAGGGAAAGACCTGGGAATCTACGTCTGAAAAAGCCACTGAACACCTCACTGGACACACTTCCGCTCTGACTTGCATAGCGTTGCTGTGAGGGTCCGTGAGAGGTGGAG